TTTCCTCAGCGTGCTTATCTCATCACACGTGTCTCCTACAGCTAATTCATGCAAACACACATACACACACCTGCTTGTGTTCAAATCAAGGGTAGAGACAGCCAAAGATGGTGGATGTTCATACTTTTAAAAGGTAGTTGATGGCCTCGTCTTCCTAGTTAGTTATAAGGAAGGCACCCATGTCTCTATGCTGGGTTGTGTGGTTGACACAGGTTACACCATTTAACCAGGATTTTAAATCTGAAGTAAATCCTAACATGTAGCATGTAAATGCTCCTGAATTTGCACAGGTAAATTGTGTGTCTGGATGAGGTCACTGAGATTTAGCTCCTTCATTTACATCTCTGGGAGAGCCAAGAGTACACAGAGGAGTTGTTTAATAGTTATCTGCCATCCCCACTTGTCTTCAAACATTGTGATTTAGATAGAACTCTAATGCATGAGAGCAACTTCTCCCCCGAGCCTTTTTCAGAATATAAATTAAGTGATATTATAACAGAAGCCCTCTCTGAGCTCAGCATAATGAATATGAACCATCATGTACTCCTGACCAAGGTCGTGGGATGAGAATGAATTACTCTATTAACATCTCTTTTAAGTAGCATTAGTGATAATAAATGAAGAGATTTGATGTAATACTGATAATATTATTCATGCAAAAATCGCATACTTTATCTTGTTAAAACAATTAAAATGTGCTTTGAGGATATTTTACACCACAGAAATATGATGCTTGAGAGCACTTATTGCACGTGACTGAATCCATCAGCATTAGCCAGTAATGCAGATAATCTGATAAAAATCGAAAAGCTGATTTGTATGCTATGCTAATTCAGGATCATCTCCTTGGCCCAAGGTACTACCCAAATGCTGCCTAAGATTGCCACAAGCTTCACTGGTGATATTAGATTAAATTCAATCCTTTTGCTTATGATTTTTTCCAAGAAATTACATCCTCCGTTCTTCAGTATAAACCCTCTTTAGCTGCTAAGCAGCCTCTAATATCACATTTTAAGCCTGGTATATTGCTGTTTGCTTCCCAGACATATTTAAGCTTTGTTGTCAGTCATAGATCATCTTACCTACATCATGTAAGTCCATGAAAAGCAAAGATTGCTGATGTCTTTTGATAGTGACCCTATTCTCAGTACAACATTAAAATAACTTGTGTGGCTCTTGAATCTGGAATCATTACGTGAATGGACACAGCAGAACCATTTTGTGACACAATTTGCCATGGATTAGAGTGTTTTGTAAATTAATCACATTCACCATGAGAAAAACTCTAACACAAGTGCATCAGCAGGGGTTGCCTTTGTGGTCCTGGAGCTACAGAGTAGTGACAGTTGTGTGACACCATAAATGGACTAAGTGCCACAAACGTGGACACTTAAAAATGGTTAAACTGTTCAGTTTCACTTCTGTGAGAAGTAGGAAAAAAAGTCAGTGGCATGGGAGATAGTTCTAAGGCCAAGGGACCATCTCCTTCCCCCACCACCATGACCCACTTCATTACCAGCATCTCACTTACATGTTTCCCACACACAGGAGTTAAATGTTAGGCAGATCTTCCCAGACCGAGTGACACAGTTTTCCTTCCCAGTGGGGTTCCTAACCAACAGGTCAACATTTGACCGCAATGTTCACTCCCTTCCACCCTTCTCAACACTGTTCCCTCCACTTATATACACACTATGCACACACATTTTTAGATTCTGGAGAATGAAAATATTCACAGTACATGTGTGTGGGCAGGTGGTGAGTCTCAACAGCTTCTCTTAAGGTGAGTAATCATATTGTTATGATTATCTACTAAGAATAGTGTTTAAATTATTGCAACTATAATATTGTAATATTATTACAATAACACAATCATATTATTACAATAATAACAGTACAGTAGTATTTGTGTTATTCTCATAGAAAGCTTCATGTGCTTTGGAAGAAACGATTATCTTTAAAATCTCTCAAACACGTTACACTTGGGAAATTTTCGTATTTTAATTAAGACGACAGGGAAGCCGACTGAATAGCAACGTCTATCCCATTTCCATCAGCTTTTTAATTATGCTTGGCATGGTCATTTCTACTTGATCCCACATAAATTTTGCACGTATAAATGGAGCTGAAGTTTCAAGACAGGGATCAGGTTTTGCATTACTGACAAAACACATATTTACATGAATGAGGCTCCTTGACTGTACGTAATTAGTCCTGAGACAGGAGGCTAATGGGATCCTCAGAGTGAGGACTTAAAGTATTAGTTTCTCATATTTATGATTAATGCTTTTCTTATCAGCCCAAGGCTCGGAATAGGATCATGTAAAGCATGTCGGGTTAAATCATTCTTTGTTACAAAATACAGACATTATACCTTGGTGAAGCCCAGAGGAAAATCTCGGCTTGCTATCTATACCTTCATCAGAAATAAGCTAAGTCAGAGACAGGAACCTTGCTTTTCATTCTTAATACTTTAAAGGATTTCCTAAGAATGGACACACTTAGAATATGCCCCTCTGGTTAGCTGTAGGCACATCACCATAAGATGTTTGTGCTGTGTTTGCAAGTGCAGGGTTTATGTTCTTGCTTCATCATTTATTCACTGATAAATCAGATACATATAACAAGTGTCAAAAATCCATCAGGGACTGACAGTATGCAAGTCAGGGACTGGGGCTTCCCAGGTGGCGCAGTGGTGAAGAATCCGCCTGCCAGTGAAGGGAATGCAGGAGATGCGGGTTCAGTCCTTGGGCTGGGAAGATCCCCTGGAGGAGGGCATGGCAAGCCACTCCAGTATTCTTGCCTTGGGGAATCCCATGGACAGAGGAGCCTAGCGGTTTACAGTCCATGGGATCGCAGAAGAGTCGGACACGACAGCACACATGCATGCACACATGCATACACACATGTCGATGACTGGGGTTCTGTGGAATAATGAAATTATTTGGTGTCAATAAACTGAATTTTCCCTTTGGGAAAGGAGTCAAAATCATCTGGTTAAGGATCCCCAAACTAGATTATTTAAAAGGTTCCCAAACTTTCTCAATTCATGGTGACCTCTAATGTCTCAGCCCTTGTTCTTCAAAGTGCATCCAGGCCAAAGATCACAGTCCAGAGACAGATATCATGTGATACTGCTTATATGCGGAATCCAAGCAAAACACAACACAAATGAACTTATTTACAAAACAGAAATAGACCCTCAGACACAGAAAACAAATTTATCACTAACAAGGGGGAATGAAGGGGTTGGGGGCTAAAACAGGACTTTGGAATTTAAAAAGGGAACATTTAGCAGTTCAGTGTATTAAATTGTTCAAAGTGAAGGTGTTAGTCACTGAGCTGTGTCTGATTCTCCAGCCAAGGATACTGGAATGGGTTGCCATTCCTTCTCCAAGGGAACTTTCTGACCCAGGAATCGAACCCAGGTCTCCTACATTGCAGGCAGATTCTTCACCATCTGAGCCATCAGACAAGCCCTAGTCCAAACAACTCCATTAGTACTGATACCCTAACAACTTTGTAGCTGTTTGAAAACCTCAAAAGCATTACGGTAAAAACAAGTAAAATTCTCTTCTGTTCTTCAGTTCCAGTGAGTCCTCGCAGACGGACCTGTGCCCCGGCTCGAGCTGCCCAGCTCCCAGACCTCGGCCTCGGCTTAGACTCTGTCATGCTCAGCTTATCTGCGTCGGTTTTCACAGGACTCCTGCTTCCCAACACAGCCACCGCCAAAACCCAGCTTCCCCGATGTATGGCATCCTCGGGAAAACAGCCCCATCCAGCATGGAAGTGCCACCCTGCCTCTGGCTTATAGTTTGTGTGACGTGGGCCTCGTGTATTTGTGTGCCTTGGCCCTGCTCGGATCATGCAGAGCTAGCTCATCTTCAAGGTGCCGTGCAAGTCCCAGGACCCATGACACTCTGTGCATCGCAACATTTCCTTAATTATTGCTGTGTGTCTGCTCTGGTGCTGGATGTGGGGGTCCCATATGGACTCTGCCTTCAGAGAACTCACAGCAGCTTTGCTGGGACATAAACTGTAGCTGCTTTGGTGCAGGGAAGGGGATGGGTGGACGGCGGGAGGGATGGGGGCAGCTCAGGGTGGGTGGAGTAGAGCCTGCAGGGGTGGCGATGATCCAGACCAGCTAGGGAGCCAACAGACCCTGAACTCTGGGAGATGTTAGCTGTCTACAGTGTTAAATGTCTTGGATAAAAGAACACTGGAGCTCGGGGAGGGCACAGAACTTGCCCATCATCACATCAGCAAGGGGCAGGCATGCTCCTCTGGGTCTATGTTTTGAATTTATTCTCCTAAGGAGAACACACAGCACACACACACCTGCCTGCCTGCGTCCCCCACTTGAGAGGCAGGAACCAGCTACACAGAGGGATTCTGCAAAGAAGAAAGTCATCCATGGTTTTACATAGATGTTTCACCTCTCCGATAATAAAAGAGATCCAAGTTTAACTAAAAGGATGATTTTTCTAAAGTTTATGTTTCCAATGAGGCTGTTCTACAGAAAATACATAGTTTCGCTAAAGACATGCAGAAACAGTCTCTGTTGATGAAACTGTTGTCTAAATAGATCAGAATTTTTAGAGGAGGATTTGGTAATAAATGTATACCAAGACCTTAAAAATCTGCACACTCTTTCACCCCAAAATTCCACTTGCTGAAACATTGTAGAATTTATCTACATTGATTTTCATCTCAGTATCACCTATAATCCTAAATTTAAAAAAAATTAAATGGAATACTAATGGTCCTTCCATTGGTTGGTTAATTGTACAGGCATCGACATTTTTAAGAGGACTAGATATGCATGAAATATTCGTGATTTAATGTTAAATAGCAAACAAAAATTAGAAAAAAATTTTGACTTCCTTTTTGCAGCAAAAAGATTGTCAGTTATGCTGAAATAAAAGGAAGTTGGCACCAAAGTAATGTTAATTACTGTCTTTCTGAACCATGGGTGGTCGAGGTGTTCTCTAAACGTCTGCATGGCGGGTGAGAAAGAGGAGACGGCAGGTGCAGCCTTGATGAAGAGCACCTTGGAGAAGAGCCGGGATGACAGCCTGTGGGAGGCGAGCGGTAGAGAGAAAGCATGTGTTTGCGGCCGTGTCCTCAGAGCCCCACACGTGGTGCCCTGTCTCGAGGAGCAGAGCCAGAGGCAGACAGAGCAGCCACGTCTCATCAAGGACCCAACTGGGCTCCTGAGTCACAGAAAAGTAGAAACAGACTGTCGATGCCAAGCTGGCCTTTGGGCCATCAAGTCTGGTTCCTGCACTCTAGTCCATTAGTGGAGTTAAAGGATCCGCAATCTACACTTTCAGCCATGACCACAGGGATAAAAGGTGGCTTGGTCTGGATAAAGGTGGAGACACCATGACTGTCTCCCTCTTTGTTACCACAGCCCAGATGAGAATAGGGATGGAAAAGATGTATGTGCATGCTGACACAGGAATTCATGCCCGGGGGAGTAATTGACACGCGAGTAAGATAAAACACTGATGACTACCTCCAGAAAAAGACATTTCATATTTAAGTATTTTTCAGCATGAGAGTATATGAACACCAACAAAACAAATCATATTCCTTTATAGAATAATTTCATCTGTAAGTGAAAAATTTAACAAAAAATTAAGTCAAGGCCCATTTCCTTGAAGTTCCATTTGCAGTTCTCTAATTTGAGATGGAGAAAGATGATGCATGTAATAAAGATTATTCTCTGAACTGTTTTTGAAATATTCTCATTTTTTAATATTAAAGACAAAGGTCTATAGATATCCCTAGGTTTCAAAAATAAGTATGCTTTACTTGTATCATGAGAGCAGAAAAATTTTGTCAACACACTTTCAAAAGACGATTTGATTTATTAAAATTATCTCTTTAAGAAGATAAAGTAGCTGAATCTCCCTTCTGCATGCTGCACTGTTCATAGTGGATTTTGAGAGTCAAGAATCAGGGAGTGAGCTATAAATAATCTCATCCTGCTTAAACTCCTTCTGCTCACAGCAGAGAGAGAGAGAGAAAAGGAGGGAGGGAGAGAGACAGGAGGGCTGGGGGATGGCAGAGGACAGGAGGGACGTACCCACCCCTGCTGCAGAAAACTTAATTGTAACAAAAAGCAGCGTTCTCCAATGGGTTGGAGCTTGGACTTGGGGTAGAGATTATTTGGAATGATGTGGGCATTGTTTAGACATGTCTGTGCCTGTGGCAGCTGGTGACTTTCATCTTCCTGGGTTGATGTGTGAGACCCCACCCCACCTCACTCCCCTATCCTGGGTCCAGAGTCCCTGCAAGGAGACCCAGGAGAGCCCTCAGCCTTGACCCCCAAGGCACAGTTCCGGGCGCAGTCTTCCTCATGATTCTGTCACCTCCATAGCAACTCTTAACAAGTTCACAGACGTTGATTTCTTTTGTTGGCATCTACAGATCCTGATTGAAAGCAACCAAGACTCTTTTTCATTCTGTTTCAGCGACTCTCCTGGACCATCCTCTGGAAGTCCTGATGGTTCAGGGTGCTTGCTCCCTCCTGTCGGGATCACTGCTCTGATGTCACTCTGCGTGTCGGTAGGACATGTAGACACATCTGTCCATGTGTCGGTAGGACATGTAGACACAGCATGTAGACACATCTGTCCAGGGTTACGGATCCCACATCCCATCACTTGTGTGACACCACAACCCGGTGATTTCCGAGTGCTCTGTAAGTGCCCTGCCTCACGATGCTCCGCGGAGTCCCAGGGGAAGAGCGGATGGCGTGCCCAGCGCCTGTGTCCCGTGCAGCTTCTCTGCTCTGGGTTGCTCGGAGGGCTTCGTCCACCCCACAGACCCAGTGTTCTTCTCTTCTCCATCCTCTTCTGCTGCAGACACCACCGTCTGGGCCGTAAGATTTGCCAGCAGTTTGCTTTAAAAACATCTCTGCGTCCAGCTCACGGTGGCTCATCCATTGCATTCATGAGACCGTGTCAGTCCAAATTCCAAGAGGAAAATCAGGCTCAGGGATGCAAAAGACTGACAGTCTGCTCATTTTTCTAAGGACAGCAACTTGGCAAGGTTAGGGTGAGCTTAACAAAATCACATGGGACATTTTACACGAAGAAGGGTAAGCAGGGAAGTGAGTGACTCACAGCAAATGCTAGGTTGTGGGGTCCTTGTCCATCAGCCTTAAAGGGGAAACGCAGTGAGGCAGGGCACGTGGCTCTGGATGTGTGCGCGGTTATTTGTCTCTGGAAATCTCTATTTGGGATGCCAAGGCCACTCCTGGGTGACCGTCGACTAAGTAAGTAGCAATGCGACCCCACAGCCCCCTGTCCCGTCCTTGGCTTAGCCCACACCACCATTCCATTTAGGAAAACAAAAGAGACTTTAATGTGAGGGGAGTCAAAGACAAAAGAGATTCTGCCAAATAACAGAAACAAAAAACCGTAAGAGCAAGCCCATTTGGTGCCTGATAAGTTGGGTTATATGCCAGCTAGCGAAATGGGAAATCTTGAATTCGGTCCTGGAGCCTAGGGTTTGTATTTGGAAATGTCCTATTAAATTGGCACTTTGGAGTTAGAAACAGGGGAGAAGTGGCTTTAATGAACTGTTCTTTGTGTTTTTCCATAGATGTTTTATGTTAAAACAGACACAATTAAATTTGAAGTTTCATATCACATAATTAGAAGAATCTGTTTGGGATAGATTCTAGAACACAGGATTAGAAAAGATAGACACCATTGCTAAAGCCAATGAAACAGAAAGTCCAAATGAAATTCGGGTTATCAGACCATCCTCAGAAATCTAAATAAATGTATTTTACGGCTTTTACATTTGAGAAGACATCTTTCATTCTTTTGTTTACATTTATAAACAACTGCAGAAAGTGAACCAAATTCAAAGAGTGATTTGATGAACGTGTCTTAATATCAAGCTTTATTCACCAAGAGTTGATATTTGAAAGTCATTAAAAGCCTACAATATGATTAATTGAAGAAGGTCGCCAGGTTCAACTGGAGGGAGAAGACAAACGTGAAATATAAATACAATTTATAATTAAATTAGGAAGTGATACTAATCCAGTGACACAGAGGCAACTAATTAGAAAAATAATGTTGATCTGAGTGTGTGACTGTGTTTGAGTTACATCAACCTGGAGGTCAGAGGGAATCTTCTGGAAGAGACAGCATGCTGCTTCTTCAAGAAACAGACACAGATTAGATGCTCCTTGAGGTCGGGGTAAAGGTTTCTCCCCATTTTACCCCTTTCCTCTCTTTCAGAAATTGGGTTAGATTTCCTTTTCTCCAGCATTTGACTTTTCATTGTATTTTTAGGATTGGATTTTTGTCTCATGACTGTTTCGAGTAAGCAGTTCTGTTTTTTTTTATTGTTTCTGCATTTATTTTTCTCTCTCGCCAGCTGAGTCTGGTGGTCACCTTGCCCCTGCCCGGGCCGGTGGACCAGCTGTCTGCCAGTGGTGATGCTGGGACGGTGTCGACACAGACACCCAGGGAGCTGAGAGGCGGCTCTTCTGTGGTTTGCAGTCTTGAGCTAATGTTTCACTGAAGACAGCAGTGAGTCTGCAGTTTTGTTTTGCTTTTATTTCCTGCTCTTCTGCTGGGGGTGGAGCATGGCCCCGGCTCCCAGGCCTGCATTTCCGCTCGTGGTGCCTATGTAGACCTGGCCCCACCCGGAACCCTGGTGTCACCGCTGCTCCTTGGAGACCGCGGGACCCTGGCTTGGTCTGTGTGCCTGGATCTGCCTCTCTTTGGATTTGCCTCCATCTTTGGCCCTTGAGCAGGCATGTGTCTCTGAGTCTTTCTAATTTCGAGTCCACTTACCATGGATCTGTTTGGGAGCACAGAATCCATCAAAGCTGGAAATCATTGCTTTGACTCAACAATATTTTGTAATAGAAACAGCTCGCAGTGGTCAAGGGTAAACTACCCGAGGAAGAAGACAGACACCACAGTGTTGGATTACAATCCAGAGTGCAAAATGAGTATCTATGGGACCAGAGTGATACTAAGCATAACTGAATAAATAAATTGGGGGAGAAGGTCCAGAATTTCAAATAATTTACGACACTAATCCCCTCAAGTCAATGGAGCATGTGTGTGTGCGCTTGATCGCTCAGTCGTGTCTGACTCTTTACAAACCCATGGACTGTAGCCCACCAGGCTCCTCTATCCATGGGATTTTCTAGGCAAGAATACTGGAGTAAGTTGCCATTTTCTCCTTCAGGGACCTTCCCCACCCAGGGATTGATCTCACGTCTCTGTGATCCTGCATTGGTGAGCGAGTTCTTTACCATGAGTGCCGCCTGGGAAGGCCAAGTCAGTGGGGCATAACTCCCTGCCTTTTCAGAGGGGTCTGTACGTAGCAGGTTGTTCCCCGAAAGTGCAGCACTAAAGGGGTGAAAAGCACTTGATAGCCACCCCCTCAGCCAGGTGACGGAGGTCACATCATCAGTGATGAGCCCTGTGATAGCGTTAATTGACACCACACTACCACAAGGGCTCTCTGCTCCTTGAGTCTCCTCCCCAAGCCCATAAACCCTAATTATGAGAAAAAACATCAGGCAAATTCCAGCTGGGGGGTGTCCTATCCAATACCTGTCCCATCCTCCTTGAACCATCAAGGTCATCAAACCAAGGACAGTCTGAGAAACACTCACTGCAGAAGAGCCTAGGGAGATAGGAAGCTGGGGTGCAACATGGCACCCTGGATGGGGTCCTGGGACAGAAGGACAGACACTAGGGGAGGCTTGTGAGGTCCATATAGGACGGAGGGCAGTGAACAACGGTGAGTCATGGTGGCCTCAGTGGTGACAGGCGCACCCACCCGGTGTTCGGTGTTTATGGCGGGGAGTTGGGGGAAGGGCATGCGGGAATTCTGAGCAGCATCTCTGTCACGTTTTGGTAAATTTAAAATTCTTCTACAATATAAAGTCTATTTAAATACAAGACAGTAAAGCCAAAAAAGAATGCTCAGTCATTAGGATCATTTTTTCTCCATTTGGCTTTATGGTTCTCCATCCCTAGTTCTATCAGCATCTATTATTTTCCCATGTGATGGGTGCTGTGCGCTTAGTCACTCAGTCATGTCCGTCTCTTTGTGACCCCGTGAACTGTCTGCCAGGCTCCACTGTCCGTCAGGATTCTCCAGGCAAGAATATAGGAGTGGGTAGTCATGCCCTCCTCCAGGGAATCTTCCCAACCCAGGGATCAAACCCAGGTCTCCTGCACTGTAGGCTCATTCTTTACCATCTGAGCCACCAGGGAAGCCCCATGCAATGGGGGTGCCTGGTAATAAC